TATATATATATATAAATACAAATATAAATAAAGATATAAATATAGATTTAGATACATATATAGATGATATGTATATAGATATATACATAGAGATGTACACTAGTAGCCAACGTGCAAATCAAACAGCATGTAAACAGACAAATATACTTACTGTATTATGCATGTGATATTTTAAGAATGAGCGCCACCATTGCGGCTGTAAAAATTATACATAGTACATACCCTTGAAAAAAAAAGGATTTTTTTGTCGACATGAATCGGTTTTTTAAGTACGTGTATTGTCTAGCGAGTAAATGTTGATAGAGGTTGAGCAGAGAAGTTGATATAAATACATTAAATATTTGAAAAATCGCTTATACTCGACATGTGTTACATATTATGCAATATTTATTTTGGACTTTTGGATGAACTCTTTCCGACTCTATTACCGGCTGCCCTGAGGCCTGAGCCCCTGACTGATGAGTGATATATTGATATTTGGGTAACGTGACGAGTTGAAGACCTAACCATTAATCAAGTGATACGTCGGGTGACTGGAGTCTGGACTCTTTCTTTCAGTGATACTGGATACAGTGTAGCGACTACAGAGACAGCTGCGAGAGAGTCTGTGAGAGTAGAGTCACTGGTCGCTGGACTCCGAGATTTTGGAGTCATCAGTTCATCACTGCCAGTGCCTCCCGCGGTCACGACCTCCTCTCTGGTGGGGTGTGGTCACACGAAGTTGGACTTGAAGTGCAGCCAGCACGGCGCTTGCTGCGGCAGTGCAGCTGTTCCAACTGGCAGTCTGGCAAGTGGCAACTTGCCACTCCTTTTTTTAGTAAAAAAAGTTCTTGCCAATGCCACAAGCCCCACAAGGCCCAACAAGTTGCCAGCAGCCAGTGCCTGCCCGGCTACCCAATGTATTTCCTCTTTATATTATTTGCAAAAAAAAGATATATATAAAATTATAATGCTTTTATCCACGGCCTTCTACATTAGACATTTTATTCTGAAAGCTGGGCAGACACTGAAAAAGATACTCTTTCCAGACTCCAGAGTCCCCAGTCTCCTCCTAAATCCTCATTTCGTTTTACGTTAAAATGATTTTATGTAACTTGGGTTGGTCCTATATTTTATAATTGGAGTGCAAGACTTGAGTACTAAGGTGCAATATATAGAAACTACTTACGCATATAGTTCGATTGTGTATCATAGAAGGTTCGGCCCTTTATTGGCCGCTTTTACAGTTTAACGTTTAAGGAGTCAACGTGTACGCTGAACTACCAAAACGTAATGAGGTTTGCTCTCCCCTCTCTCGGGATAAAAGTAAAAACATACATAGTGGCAAACTGGTAACTGGTAAATATGTATATTATAATCACGCAGGAACTACGCAGATGTATGTTGCTTCATTGCGAAAGTGTGGGTACGTCTCTAAGTTCCTCTTGTTCGTAAGACTGATAAGTTCCTTTTGTTTGTTTTAAGACTGAGGCTGTTAATAATCCCTCCAGGCATATCAATACTGAGCACAACACATATGTACACATATATACACATATACACTACATCTATATCTGCATGTGCGCGTACATAGACACGTCTACACATTGTACACAAACATAACACGTACACGCATGTACAAACTATTACTCGCAAATCCGCAACCATGAATAATCTGAGCATTACAACCAATTCCGTGCCGGTCAAATCAGCCAAATCAGCCTTGCGTAAGGCCATTCACGATAATACAGCTAGATCGCGTACTGTAACTATCGCCTGTAAACCCCCCACATTGGGCTTGGGTATGATGATGGATCCCGTGTCTTGTGTACGTTTATCAGCAAAGACTATATCTGATGGGGAAAGGGTCAAATCTGAGGAAGTAAGGCGTGTTAATTGGGGGGAATGTAATCTCATCTCATGTACGTATGGACCAGAGGAATACGATCGCACGTGTGAGGTGCTTCCGTATTTTCGCTGGAATGCTAAGCAGCAACGCAACTTACTGCAAGAACTAAAAGCAGAGCTTAAGGACGTGTATGTACACCCAAGTTCGCCCAGTGCAATGAGTTCAACTATCATGCCATATAAGGAAGACATTCCCATATTGAAGGAGTGGAGTACGAGGTTAGCTAGTCTGTTTCACAGACTCACACAGCCGTCGCCGAGTGTTGTTGATGACCCCGGGGATGCGCCCTACGATCCTAACAGCACACAGCACTTTGTCGCAAGAGGTTTATGAAGGTTGTGATCAGTTGCTGGGTTATCGACATCTTGTGATGAGGTGAATATCAACATAAGGTGTATCGCATAATGCGTAAGCTGACTAGATCAACAGTGTTAGCAATCTCAGCAACTGGGTTTTAGGGTTGTTGAGGTGTATGACTGTATAAGGGGAAACAGCAGCTTAGATCAAGTATGATAGCAATACCAGCGAGAGGGTCATGAAGGTAGTGCGCATGATGTGCGCAAGAGTCATCACATTAGCAGATTTGATCAATCGAGATAACATCGTGCCAGCGTAACATCGAAACGTACAAGTGGATTTGAAGCAACGATACAGTACAACTCTTTGGCGCGAAAGGCTTATGACCATGTACACTTGTACTGAGGTGTATCACAGGAAGCACATACGTGAGCAGATTAGATCAGTCACGATAGCAACTTTTCAAAAATATCATGAAGGTAAGTTTATGAAGTCGTCCCATGAGGGGTAGGAGAGATATCACATACATCGGCAGATTAGATCAGTCATGATAATAATCTCGGCAATAGGATCATGAAGGTTATGACGACGTCGCTTGAGAGGTAGGAGAGATATCACATACATCGGCAGATTAGATCAGTCATGATAACAATCTCGGCAATGGGATCATGAAGGTTATGACTACGTCCCATGCGAGGTAGAAGAGATATCACATACATCCGCAGATTAGATCAGTCAGGATGACAATTTCAGTTAAAAGATCATAAAGGTTATGAAGACGTCCCATGAGAGGTAGGAGAGATGTCACGTACATCGGCAGATTAGATCAGCCATGATAACAATCTCGGCAATAGGATCATGAAGGTTATGAAGACGTCTCATGAGAGGTAGGAGAGATATCACATACATCGACAGATTATTTCAATCATGATAACAATCTTGGCAATAGGATCATGAAGGTTATGACTACGTCCCATGAGTGGTAGAAGAGTTTCACATACATCGGCAGATTAGATCAGTCGGGATATCAATTTCTCTCACAGCGCTCCTAGAAACGTACACACGGCTGTAAGCGAGAATATAACTCGCCATTTGAAGGGTCGTGGCAATGATTTTGGGCCGATAGTATGTGGCTATGTCCACATACAAGTAGGAGAGTGAGCCTATATGTCAAAACAGACAATATTCAAATTGAATCATCGTTTGAGTATGAACGGGCGCGGACGTGTGCGTTGCCATGACATTAGTTTCCCTCGTATGCAAGTAGCGTCCATTCATAGTAAACGTAGTGATCTATCTGTTCCTGCTTCAGGACGAGCCACAATGAAGAATATTATGCCTGTGTATCTGGTCTCCATCGCCTACAGGCATAAATAGTAGGGTGCCGTTGCATCTCGCACCCATTTGTGCACTATACAGCGTTCCTGTCTGCATTACAACACCCGCACAACGTACACGAAACCTACAAGCATGTGGCAATGTACTGTCTATGGAAACAACTGCATATATATATAAATATATACATATATATCTATATATATATATCAATATATATGTATATACAT